GATGAGACATAAAGGCAGACGGGGGTTCTACCTAGAATACTTTAGCCCATTTCCCATTAAAAAAGATGGGGGGGCATTATTATTATTATAAGAAAAACAGATTGTTTTAGAACAAAAATCTCCCACAAGTGGAAATGGCATGATGAAATTCCCACCTCACAACATATATGATAGTTTTGCTGATTGGTAGATACATTGGTTAGATTCTCTTAAAAAGTCCAAATGGATCCACCTATTTTAAAATACCTGCTGAGATAAAATACAGTATGTTTCTGAATGGTGCCATAAAATAGTAGGAAACCGCCATAACTGTAGCAGCTAGTGACCTCAGGACTACCCATCTAACTGTACCACTAAAGGAATAGTGCTCACAGACAATTCCTTCTCACCACCTAATGCTCATGTGCCCAGACATATTTTATGCACCACAGTCTTTGTTCACACTGAGATGCCAAAGACAATTCCATTCAGAGAGTAAAGGCATGGCCTTTGGGCTTGTAATGTATTCATCATCATTGGTGAGTTAATAAATGTTGCCCACAATTATACAATACGAGAGTGCTTCTGCTTAGTCAGGTTACAGATTTCTTTGTGCTAAATTGAGACCTCTTCTCTTCTTTTTCTCCCCTCAGGATAAAATGTTCATTTGTAGTGTCAGAGTTTCATCTGAGGCTACTAATGAGTTTGGGTTCCCAGTGACTACCGCTAATTTTTTTGTCATCTGTGAAAAGGAGGACTAATGAGAAAAAATGAAATTCATATCCTAAACCACTGTTAAGTTTTATCTGTAGTTACCTGGCTGAAAATTTCATAGGATGGACATATATCTCTTTTGTTCATACTCTGCATTAAAGAATCCCACTTCATTTATATAGACATCTGCATCAATGGCGGTAGGGATTTGCCTAGCTTAAGAGCAGAGCTTGTTCGAGGTAAGCAGGAAGGCAGAGCCAGCATCATACACCTTAGTACAAAAAAAATACACATGCATGAAGAGCAGTGGCAAATTGTGCCAACCTTTGTTCATTTTAAGAGCACTGGATTTGAACTCAGAGCATATGAGTTCCAGTCCTAGCTGTGCCATTTAATGCCTGTGTGACTTTGGGCAGGTAGCTTAATTCTAGTTTCCTCATCTGAAAAATTAAATGGCTGGATTAGGTGATGTCTAAGGTCCCTTTCAGCTTTTAATGAATGTCCTATTCTTCTGATAATCCAGAACTTCTGTTTGACCTTGTTTCAGAGCTCTTCACCAGCTACTAGAATTCTGTTGAGACTCTGATACTGATTAATGTTTCTGATTCAGACCCTGTCTCCTGCTTCTGACTATTCTATTTGTCACTTCATATCTCTGCTAACTGATCTCTGAGCTCACCACGTATGATGCTACATTTCTCATCCGTCCCCAGCCAGATGTTTCAGGCCATGGACTTTTACTAGTCTTCACCCAGAAGCTTCAGCAGGCATGAACAGAAAGCCCTAGCCCCAGGTCATGGAATAATTCTTGCCTGTTCTCCTTTAGAAAGGGGCTGAGGTTCTTATAACTCTTTACCAAAAAGGAAATCATTAAATAAATCACCCTACAGAAAACAAAACAAAACAAAACAAAAACAACTCATATCATTAGTCTATATATCTCTCTGTCTAGTGGAATTATGTTCCCAAATACATTTGCAGAAATGACTTCTTGTCAGGTCTTACAGAACTTGAATTAGAGAGAAGGTAGATCATCACCATTGTCAGGATCTGATTGATTAGACTAATTTTTCCTTAAAGGCAACTCTCCTCTGCTTTTAGAACAAAAGGTACTAAATCCCATTGTTAATTCAGTAAATGCCAAAGGGCTCTAGCTTTTCCACTGGCTTGGTGGTTTCCTGTATTCAGCAACACAAATAATAATTATCTTCCAATGTTTCATTCTGGTTGTGTCCTGGAAGAGGACCAAAATGACACCACTAGGTTAGAGTCAAGTTATAGTGTGTCTGACTGTGTCTGATCAGACCAATATGAGCTCAAAATGTTCTAACACAGGTCAGGCAAAAATAGAGCCTGTGAACATTTGGAGTGGATCCTCTAAATTTGCACATCTCACATTTCTTTTGAGCTACTTCAATTTTGCTTTGCTTACAGCACACAGCTCCTTCTTTGATGCAGTACACCATGCTCGGCAGTCTTTTCCCAGCATCTCCCATGTCATGCAATCAATTCCAAAGTGAGAATGTTCCTGTATCGCTTCTTCTAACCACCATGTAAGTGCCTTCCTTGATTGAGTTCTCCATAAAATAGTCTGTTAGGCAAGCATAACGATTGGCATTCAAATGACACGGCCAGCCCATTGGAGTTGTGCTCTCTGCAGTAGAGTTTGAATGTTTGGCAGTTTAACTCGAGAAAGGATCTGTGTCCTATAACTTTTCCTGCCAGGTGATCTCCAGAATCTTCCTAAAACAATTCAAATTCACTCCTGTAGCACCCTTCTGGACCCAGGAGAACACCCAGATTTTAGATTCTTTGTCGTTGGTACCATTGAATTATTTTGGTGCTTTAGTTTTAAGCCCCAACCTTTAGGTCTTGTTAGTTTAATATACCTTTTCTTATTCTTTCCTCTGAATAAATCAGAATTTATTGGATATGTGACTTATTCTGCTTGATTACCCTAAACAGCCCGACTTTCTGAATTTCTTCTATTCTCCAATTTAAGTATATTGTCAACACATCATGACAGATCTGCATACAAAGGATCACTGAGCTAGAGTTCGAAATGGAACAAATTAACAGGCTCATTTTACTGACAAGAAAAGTGAGGTGAGACCTCAGCTACAGTAATACTTTCATTGTTTCTAGAAAGGTCATGACAATGTACCTGTGCCTGCACATACCAGGACTGTGAATCCCCAAACAAAAATCTGCTTCCACATTCACCACTGCTCTTTATTATATTATATAAATGTTAGTTCTTTGAGAAAAGGACCTTTCTCCCTTTTGTCTTAGTATCCCCAGCACCTTGAACAGTATTTGGAACACAGGTGGTGTTTAATTCATACTTTTTTCCTCCATTCATTCCTTGCAGTGTTAAAAGCACTCGTATTCAGTTCTGCACACCATATATTTTGGAAAGGACACTAATAAACAGAAGAGAGTAGAAATAAGCCAGAGAGTATGGAAAGGTGGACAAATGGAGTTTTGAAGGACTAGTGTCCATATCACTTGAAGAGCAGTTGAAGGAACTGTGATTCTGGAGAACTGGAGAAGAAAATATTGAAGTAATCATGATAATTGTCTTTAAAGTAGTTGAAAATCTTGCCTTCTCAATGGGTAGGATGAGGGGAAGAAGGAGGGAGATAATTTAGAACTGAAAATAAATTTTAATAGTAATTTTTAAAGCATATTTAAAAGCTGTCATGAAAGTAGAATTATACGTCTGGTTTGCCCCAGAGAGTAGAGTTAGAATCCAGGGGTGAACATTGCAAAAAGGTAATTTTGGGGTTAATCTGAGGAAAAACTCCTTAATAATTAGAACTATACAAACATGTGCTGCTTTATTAGCTATTAGGCTTCCCCATATGGCAGGTCCTTAAGCGAAGGCTCAGTGACTAGATATATTATAGTGGGAATTCTTTTTTTTTTTTTCAAGTAAAGGTTAGATTACATGAAGGCTGTGGTGCTATGAAGTGCTCTCTCGAGACCTTGCAAAATAGTATGTGGCAGAGCTGATGTCTCACCATTTCCATAGTCAATGCTGGAATTTGTGCTATACTATTATGTCTTGTTATTTGAAAAATGTCACACCACACATAGAATTCATCTTCCCCCCTTTAAATAAATCATTATACTGGATCTCTGTCCCAGATTCTATCTTACATCAAGGAGTAGCTACAGCTTAATAGCGGAAGATATGTAGAGAACTTTCCAATGCCATCTTAAAGAAAAGGGCATTAAAGATTTTTAATGTGATCCCCTTTAAGGGAGGCAGCCATGTGGCCCAGTGGATAGAGCACCTGACCTGGACTCAGGAAGGCCTGTGTTCAAATTAGACATTTGCTAGCTGTGTGACACTGGGCAAGTCACTTAACCCTGTTTGTCTCAGTTTCCTCATCTGTAAAATGAACTGGAGAAGGAAATAGTTAAGAAGAATTGCTAGCCTTTGAGCTGTCCCAATATTGTCCTTGTACTAAATACCTCTAACTAAGATGACCCAAACTCTCCTGCACTGCACCAGGAAAGAAACTCAGCCTAATTTGGCTCTATATACATATTTGACCAGACATTCAAACTGGCTTTTCAAGTCACCATGGTAAAACTTGAAAAGTGCCTATGTCTTTTCCTTTGTTAAAAATAGATAGAATATAAAAATCTACATTAATGAAATGTTATAGCTGAGATCTGAGGCACACACGAGAGCAAAAAAAATCTAAGTTATGGTTCCCATAGCAACTGTAACTCAGTCAGATTTTACTTTTATGTTAAGTAAGTACAACTTCAGGAGGAAAGCAAAATATTACCTTTGTGCAAAGAAATAGAATCAAGAAGACTGCAACAATAGCCCTGAATTTCCTGACTTTCATGCCAACATTAAATATTAGCTATTAATGTATCATCAATATCTCAACATCAATACAACACACTTGTCATAAATTATTTTAACCTGCCTTTCTTTCAATGTGTAAAATGGATTTACTGTTTCAAAATGTGAAAGAAAATAATCTCTTAATGACACATTAAATCAGAGCTTGACTTTATAATTTACTGATTCAGGAACATGGTTCCGGATGTAACTACAACATGTTATTTACTGAAAGTACAGAACATGAAAATGATATCTGATTACATTCACTGTCAGGTGCTTAAGCTTGACATTTTTCCAATAACTGCAGGTGTGAGCTAAATTCTAAAAAAAAACCAGATATGCAGCATCTTAGGTAAGGCACATACAATTTCTAAAGACTATAAGATTGATTGCACTATCCACTTTTCATAAGGGAAAAAAAATAAGTAAGAGTACTCACTCCTGTTATGTAGCGAGGTCTATATTGAATAGTTCCAAATAAACCCAGAATGACGATGATAATATGAATAAAATTTGCCAGGATAGGTGCCCACTGGTATCCAAGGAAATCAAATATTTGCCTCTCCAGCACACAAACCTAGAATCAGAAGAGACAAGAGGCAGCTCAGTTTGTTTCAGTGACAAAGACACTATATCAACATAACAGGCAAACAACCTAAGCCAGACTAGAGTGGAATCTCCTGAGTTTGTTTTTAACCAACACATTTTGTGGAAGTAGCATTTGCCATTCAATTGGTGAGTGAGGTGGCAGAGAAGTAGTCCCAATAACTCAGATGATTTCAGGAGGGTTTGGGTAGATATCCAACAGCATTCACAAGCTGTCACGTGTGTAAGCAGCTGGGTAAATGATGTTGTCATATATTCTCTCAAACACTCCATATCATCCACTGACAAGGAAAACTACATCCATTTGAAGGCTAGATTATCTTACTCTCACTAAACAGGGTGGAAAGAGTCAAGCCAAGAAGTATTTATTAAGAGCCTATGATGTGCCAGGTACTGTGCTAAGTACTTGAAAGAGGATAGAGTTGAAAAAAAGTATTTCCTCTGGTCCTAGCTCTTTCACTAATACACTATGTGCCATTAGCCTAATTTAGTCTGTATGAGCTCAGTTTCCTCATTTTTAGAATAATGGCACTGGGCTAGGTGATCTTTAAGGTCCTTGTTGGCTCTTAAATCTTACAATTCTATGAGTTTTTTTGTGTTGTTCAGTTGTTTTTAGTCACATCCAACACTTTGTGGCCCCATTTAGGGTTTTCTTGGCAAAGATACTAGAGCAATCTGCCATTTCCTTGTCCAGCTCATTTTAGAAATGAGGAATCTGAGGCAAACAGGGTTAAGTGACTCACCCAGGGTCACACAGCTAGTAGAGGTCTTTTAGGCAGATTTGAACTCAGGAGTTGAGTCTTCCTAATTCCAAGTATAACATTCTATCCCTGAGCCACCTAGGTGCCCTCATACCACCTATTTGCTTTATTTATAATAATTCTCACTATCTTATGAGCAGAAACTGATTTCCTCGTGTGACATTGGACAATTAATTTCTGTAGCTCCTAATTTCCTGAATTATTAAATGAGGAGGCTGGACTAGATAATGTGGAATATAGCCGCTAGTTCTAAATCTGACAAGCTCAGTTTCTTATAACCACCTTCATCTGACCCCTTATGGTTATAGGGTTTCACATTTGAAACAAACTTCAGTCATCAAATTGGGGAGGAAAATGGCAAAAACTGAGTCCACAGATAATAACCAACTTTAATTTTCTCCCCAGAATTAGGACCTCTATTTCAGCCAAGCTTCTTATTTGAACTACTAACAAAGGTAATTGGAATAGTTTGAATAATGCCTCCTTTTCTTCTTTCTTCCCATGCTTAGATGTCTATGCTGATAAGCATTTGTGATCAAAAACTAAAAGAAGAATTACATGGAAGTAAAGCATCTGTATGAATGATCAACAAAACCAAGAAACTATGAGTCACTTGTAATTACAAAATTTAACAAATACACCCCAGTAAATATTGGATACATTTATATGGATAGTTTTCAAGTTCAAAGGGCAGAGTGATTTAGGATCATAGCTCTGTAGATATAAGAGATCTTAAGGGCATTTGATCTAACCTCTCATTTCACAGGTGAGGAAACAAACCCAGTGTGGCTGAGGGACTTGCCTAAGGTCACCTAGAACTAGAATTTGAACCCCAAGCCTCTGACTCCAAAGCCAGTTCTTTTCTCGCAATTCCATGCAATCTCATAAATACCTTACACCCCAAGGGTATCATGCCTCCATATAATAACAACTCCTAAAAATGGAGTCTGTTTTATTTCTTGTATTTCTAGGAGCCAGAACACTGTCTGACACATAATCGGTAGTTAATACATGCTTAACAAATAATTCAATGTTTATTTCTTATTATTAAATTAGTTGTTCAGCCATTTTATTCACGTCTGACTCTTCATGATCCCATTTTGGAGTTTTCTTGGCAAGGATACTGGAGTGGTTTGCCATTTCCTTCTCCAACTCATTTTATAGATGAGGAAACTGAGGTAAACAGGATTAAATGACTTGCACAGGGCACATAGCTAGTAAGTTCATGAGACTGGATTTGAACTCAGAAAGTTGAGTCTTCCTAACTCCAGGCCTGGAACTCTGAAATTAGATGAACTCTTAGAGCACCAATTATAAGTTAAAGGCTTCTTAAATAATGATTTTCTACCCCTATCAGTTGTTTAGTTAGCTGCTCAGGTTTCCATATACCAAGAAGAGGGGAAAAACAAACAAACAAGCAAACAAAAAAATACTTATACTGATTTTTGGCATCACTACCCCTTCTTCCCAAAGTTCCTTTATGCAACACATCATAATAGTAATGAACAATGGTAGTTCAGCCCTAGCTATTCAACTATTATATTCCTACTGAGCTTAACCTGAAAGAGTGTGAATGGGAATCTAGGCACACAAAGAGGCACTGTATCAGCAAGAATCCCAAGTCCCAAATAGAGCACTAACTTTCAAAGGACTTCCACAAAATTCCACTCTCATAAACCACTTAGATTCTCATCCTAAATACTTACTCAGCAATTATTAAAGTTACTGCTATTATTACACATTTGTATATGCATATATTATATTGTTTTTCATTTAATATCAATGAGATCCATTTGTAATAGAACAACAATAAGCTTTTTCAAATCATTAAGGTAAAAACCATCTTCTGTTATATCATAATGGTAGAATAATAGATGAAGAGCTGGGAAAAAGACCTTAGAGGTCACATAGTCCAACCCATTTACTTTACAGATGAGGATCTTAGGATCAATAAGCATAAGTAACTTGCCCAAGGGCACACTGGGGGTAAAGAGTAAAGCTGGCATTAAACACCAGATCTCAGTCTCCAAATGTGGTACACTTCCTCTGGCACTATGCTAACTCCCTAGCGTGCTGCTCAAATATTACACATCATAGCATACCATACTTATCATAAATCAAAAAAAATAAAATAAAAGGACAATGAAATACATTATTGTTGTTGTTTAGTCATTTTCAGTTGTGTCCAACTCTTCATAACTCTATTTGGGGTTTTCTTGGCAGAGATACTGGCATGGTTTGCCATGTCCTTCTCCAACTCATTTTACAATTGAGCAAACTGAAGCAAACAGGGTTAAGTAACTTACCCAGGATCCCATGGCTAGTAAATAAGTGTCTAAAGCCAGATTTGAACTTTAGAAGATGAGTCTTCCTTACTCTAGGGCAGACCCTCCATCCACTGCACCACTTAGCTAACTGAAAATACAGTATGGTACATATAATCTGTCAATCTGCCTCACTTGTTCTCAAGAAGAATCAATAAAACTCTTAAAATACAACAGTTAGCCTGCTTAATTATCTGAGAATACTAACTTACATGTATATAGTACTTTATAGTTACAAAGTCCTGGTCATATGTGCCATTCCCCGCCCCCCCCCAAAAAAAAGCCACACTGTGATATAGGTAGTACAAGTATTATTTATCATTTTAAACAAATGAGAAACTATGATCACAAAACTAAAGTAGCCTGAAAGGAAGAAACAAATACTTATTAAGGCACTATTATTTGCCAGGTATTGTGCTAATTGTTTTACAAATATCTCCTTTGATCCTCACAACAATTCTGGGAGGTGAGTGCTATTATCATTATTATTCTCATTTTACACCTAAAGAAACTGAGGCAGAGAGAGGTTAAGCAATTTGCCCATGGCCACACAGCTAGTAAGTGTCTGAGTCTGGATTATCACTCAGGTCCTTCCTGACTCCAGGCCCACTGTGTCCTATCCATTGCACCACCTCAAATGTTGACTTTGGAGTCAGAACACCTTTTAACTCCTGGCTCTGCCACTTAATATCTGTGTGAGCTTGGTCTAGTTGTTCACCTCTTTCCTGTCAGATGATGAGGCTGGACTTCACTAGATGGACCCTAGGGTCTCTTTCAGTTCTTATTCTTTGATCTTAAGTGTCTCTGAGCTAAAGGTCTTCTAAGTATACATATATTACTCTTTGCCCTATACCGCATTGCACTTCTACCTTCACAAACAATAATTGTTTACTATTTTTCTGCTTTTCCTATCACTTGAATATATTTATCTCTTTACACAGTAGCTCTATGTGTCTACTACACTGTCTTCGAAAAGTGACTGTTGTACCCAACTTTGAAGACAAAAAATGTCCAGTTTTGTTTAGCAATGGTTTGGTTGTCCTACTGTCTTCTGGTAACTATGCTATGGAAAATGTGCATCCATGGGCCCCACATACTGCTGTTCAATATGGTTGATTTGGGATTTCATTATTTTCTTAAACTGGGAATAATACTAAGAGAAATTTAATTAGGTGAGGGGCATTTGAACAATTACAGTACTCACAGTGCTTTCAAGTCTATGTTAATGAGTTTGAACTCAACTATTTAAACCAAAAAAGTGCTGGGGGGAAAATAGAAGTAATAGATTTCTAGTGACTTCAGTCAAAAATAAAATCAAGAGATTGTTATAATCAAATAAAATATAGGCATAACAGCAGAACCTTAATAAATGTGCATGTAATTTTTGATGAAGGATTAAAGGAAGAATAACAGAGCTACAAGGTCTGATCATTTATGTGCTATAATGTGAAGGCTCCTAAAAGTAATTCCGAATCATAAAATGACATATGATTTCCCTCTCCTCACCTCTAACATTAAGAATCCCTAGTTCCTTTCAAGGGTGAGTGTTTCATATAGGATTCCTCAATTCTTTGTATTGTTAGTACACTCCTTCAAAATTACTTTGTATTTAATTTGTATATATCCTCTAATGATTTATCTATATTAGTTGGATGTAAGCTGCTTAAGGACAGGGATCATTTCATTTTCGAATTCATGTCTCTGGAATGTAGTAATGTCTGATGCACAGCAGGTATCTAATAAATGCTTGATGAATGAATGATAAATCATTTGGCTGTGTCTTGCTTAAATTTCCAGTGTCCTTATGGAAATGATGGTGTGCCAAGAGAAGTGGTCCAGTAGGAATTTTGAATCTCATAGCTCAAGCTCTGCAAAAAGTTTAAAAA